GGGAACTTACAATTCTTTTCTGTTTTCTACCAGCAAAATGCAATTGCTTTTGCAAGGAAAGGTAAAAAAAAAAGTCATCTGAGTGAGAAAATCAAAATTATTAGTTTCAGCTTGGTCATTTGCAGTTTTTCCATTAGACAGATATAAAATAGCACATTCCAGAATTATCTTTTAAATTATACACGTGGTAGGTAAGGGTTTAATGTATTATAAAAGCTGAAAGAAAATTATTTGTAATGAGAAAGCAGAAACAAAATTGTTTACCATGTTAAAATTATACCTTTTAGCCTTTCAGAAATGAAACATTAAATAATAGAAAAATGCAAAGCTTGGATGGACCCAAACCAACCATTTTCGGAACGCTACTTTTAGAAGACATTTGCGACCGTTATCTTTTCATTCCAATTCAGAATATTAAGGTTTCATTTACAATTTCAGAATTTTCCACGGTGCTGAAATTCTGGTTCCCAGCCAGCTCTAATTTTAAGTAGATTGTGCACCATGGATATTGAGGGCAGAGTATTTACTATTCACTCCTGCAAGGGTAATGTTGGAAAGGAGTGCTTCGTTCTTGCTACTGTTCTGTGGGGGGCAGGCAGGACCACAAGTCAGGGAGAGGACTGGAGAGGTGATTTTAGCCAGCACAGGCAGGGCTAGAAGAAGAAATGAAGAGATCTTAATTAGGATTGTGTAAGAAAGAAGAGTGTAGGTGTAGGAGGAATAATATAGATTGAAAAATGTGCAGTCAAGTCTATCTAGCTATTTCATCCCTTTCTGCATCCCAGAATTAGCCATTCATTAAAGCCTCTTTCACTGTTATCTTTGCTTATTTTATTCTGATTTTTTTTAGATCCTGCTATTCACAAGTATTACTATGGTAATGGATGTAAATAAATCCAGAGGTCAAATAGACAAATCCAAACATGCGAACCTTAGCATATCTTTAAAGTACTAAACAGTGTGTTCCATCTCACCTTAGCCCCGCAGAGGACTGAGTCACTAACTCGTTTCCACACAGCAGAGAGCTGATTGCCTTCACGTTATGCTTGAATGGGTATGGGGACATGTAAATTCTCAATGCAAGAGGATTTAAGCCCCATACTGCCTATTAGTGAAGAGAAATGAACTTTGCTAGGGCTCAAGCTGCAGAACATTTGTTAGTCAAGTGGAAGGTCATTTTCTGTTATCTACTGTGGAGTGAGATTTTCAAAACCTCAAAGTGACTTAAAAGTACAAGGTATATCTACTCCTCCGTGACTGCTTTTACTAGAGCATAAACGTAACTCCAAGTCCCACTGGCTTTCGACCAGGCTTTTACCTCCCAAGTATTGAAGTCACTTCTAGAAATGGGACATTACCTCCTAAATTACAAAGGCACTTTTGCAAATGTGTCCCGTGATGGTAGCACTGCTGCTTTCCTGCTTGGTCTACAGAAGTAACAGAATGAGATCGTAATGGATATTGTCTTTCCAACCACTTGCTTCTGGTAAGCAGTAACAGGCTTTTGCTCAAAATCTAATTAGGCAATATGGTTATCCAGAGAAACCCAACTTGTCCTGTTTAACCTGTCTTCACTGCTGTTGAGCTGTAGGGATGTCATATGGGATCGCATCTGCTTGTGTGATGTTTCATCATGACGCTCCCTTATGTTAGATGCTGCACAACCACAGAGCGAAAGGACGATGACCTGTAGAGCCCGTACACTGAGTGTTTTCTCTGCTCTGTATTTACAGCAGTTTAGATTCACAGCTTCTAGCTCCAAGTCAATCTAGAAATCAGGGCAAACATTGCCCATTAGCAACGTCTGCAACAAAACATCACACACGTGGAGCCCTAGCCATGCTGGCAGTCATAGCAAGCTGTTTATCTACTCTTCTTTCCTCCACTGTCTATAAGAGCGAGCACTCACCTCCTCCCAACATCTCATGTGATGAGGAGAAATGACCAGCACCAGCAGCAAACACAGCCCAGATGAGACTGGTGGATGATACAGACGTGCATCCTGTCCCATCTGGCTCCCATGGGGAAGAAGCTACAGCCCCCTCTCCCTCTTTCCCCAGCCCTCCTTGTTACCTCCGAGTCTCAATATCCCACAGTTCCTTTTTCATGCTGTCAGTGCCAGGTGCAGAGCTGGGAAGCAGAAGCCATCTGCAGTTGACAGCAGGCAGCCCCCGTGGGATAAGCCAGTAATGAATATCACCAGGATGTCGAGGGTCTAGAGGCAGGAATCCGGCTGACTGATGCTGAAGGGATTGAAACAAGTTGCAGAAATATCCCAGCTTCGTCAGGAAGAAAAGGCTGTGTAATTTGCAGCTGGAGATGAATGTGATTATTTGCCATGCAAATGGATTTTGCCAGCTCAAAGTGGCCTTCATCAGCAGAGATTGTTGTATTTGACATTATCCGGTTTCTTTTGTTTAATGCCTCGGTGCCTTTTCTGAACACTTCCTTCCCTGAGCACACGTCACCCAGACTAATTAAAGACAGGTATTTTTTTCCTCTTCCCATCAATCTGAAGACATGTGAGCAGAATCCATAGCTGCCTCCTCTCCGATCCCTCTCCAAATACAAAACAAAAAGTAAAGTCGTTTGCACTGATAGTCCTGCAGGCTGAGTATTCTCCGCAGATTGGAAGCACGACGGTCACATTTATGTCAACTAACTTCAGCTACTTAAAAATTAGCTGTTTAGTCCAACCTAGTCATCCCAGTTCCTTCAAAATTCAATAGGGAGGGAGGTCTGCAGGGGGGACCTCCTCCCAACATGAGATAGATGGGGTGAATCATCCCTGGAGGTCCCTATTCATCTCCAGAGCTTGTTTGGTGAGTATGTCTCTCTTAGAGAGTTAAAGATAGGGTAGAAGAACAGTGCCCATCTGCCTGCCTTGCCCACAGCACTCCCACAACAAACCTCTGATCCCCCTCTCTGGCTGGCAGTGATGGGGAGGCGTAAAAAGAAAGTAATCTGGGATGAGGGAGCATGGGTCTGCTTAGCCATGTTGCTGCAGTTGCCAACGAAGGAGCGGGGTTGTGTGAGACACTGCAGGGCAGGGTAACCAGCATACAGCTTATGGTTGGAAACCATACCTGAAAAAATCTTCTTTGTCATACCTTTCTTGCCTTTAAGATGTGGGTGATTAAGAAAAGAATTTGTGAACTCCCTACAGTATCACCTTGGAGGTGGGTCCTGCAGATTTCCCTGAAAGATCTTGAAAGGTGGATCCTTCAAAGTCATTCATGGAGCTTGGGTTTGTGGTGAGATGGACTTTGCTGCCCGGTTTCAGAAAAGCCCATGGATGAAGAAACCAAAGGGGAGGGCAGAGGCTCTGTTCCGAAATGAGGCCCCTGTGCAGAGGAAAGCCCAACCCATCTCTAACCGTAGAAATCCTTTCAGTCACATCTGTAAAATACACCGCTTGTCCTTTCTGTCGCTGTAATCCCTTGCAGTCACGTTTCCTGCAGTTTCTCTCAGCCACGGGTGAAAGCTGCTGTGATCATTCTCCAGGAGTGCGGGGCTGACAGTGCTGTGGTGGGATGGGTCTTATTTCCACATATTAAAACACGTGCTTTCTGCTCTGCCCCGTGTGCTGCGTGCGTGGGAGCTCAGTCGCAAAGCCTGCTTTCTGCTGGGAAGTGATCTCAAAGAGTTTTGACTAAAGAGATTTCAGGGTGGGTTGATCTAACCAGGGAGATGACGTGACGTCTGCGGGAGCAGCTCCCCTCACATCAGCAGTGTTTAAAACCAGACTGGACAAACTGGAAGGGTGAAACCTAGATAAGTCGTGCAGCTGGTGGGCTATGTGGGTTTAGCCTCTTTCCAGCTCTAATTTTGGTGATTAACAAGGTGTAGTTTTTTTCCCTCAATGGAGCGATGGAGCATGCAGGTTGGTTTGTCAAGTTGTGTTAAACCACAGTAAACCATAGCAGCTGGACCCAAGGCTTCACGTAGACCTGGACATGGCATAGCACGCACTATCATAAGCTGGTCCAGTTCCAGCTGGACTGGGATATCTCTGTTACCACCCGATACACTGTGTTTCTGTGGAGTGACTCAGGTCAGCTGAAAGGCAGTGCTGAGACATGGTCCCCCACAGAGAAATAAACAGTTTTTCTCATGGGCAGGTCCTCCCTAGGCAGACTGTCTGGCTTTATAAAATAGCATTGGAAGTTACCTTCTGTCTGGGACAGTGCTCTGCATCTAGAGAAGGAGCATATAAATAATTTAGACAGAATGAATGAATACTGACATCACTCTCAAATTATTTTTCATTCTTAAAAATGATTTGAAAATATTTTAATATAAATTAATGCCTGCTTGACTTATTTGCCTCTATAGCTATCCAATGGTTACAGATAATTGGCTATTTGATTGCAGCGAGTGCAAAATACCTAGATTTTAGGCATTATTATGAACATCTTGTCTAACCATCTGCTGAATACAAAACAGAGGATGTCAGTAGGCAAATTATTCATTAAAGCCGTAGCTCCTCTCTGAGCTTCAATATGTCTCATAGAAAAACACAGAGTTTTGATTTTTAAACTTCAGGTGATGGAGGAGTTGACCTAGTGATCCCAGCTGGTCTGTATATCTGGTCTGGCCCCATGCTGGTGCTCCTTCCCGCTGTGGGTACATGCCACAACACAGACCTCGCCAGAACTACTATTTGGATGGGCATTGCCCTGCCCAGCTAAACCTTCCTCGTAGTTGTCTCCATGTCTTATTATTAATATTATTACATACACTGAAAGGAATTGAAAATCAAAGCAAATTCAATCAGTTCATTGCTGATTTTTTTTCACTGTGAATTTTTTATCCTCCCTCTAATTGGATTGACACCTTGAAAAGTAGATTGAGAACTGAGACAGACCTTTGGCTTCCCTGGAAGTGGCTGGAGAACGTGACTTTGGGTAAATGCCCAGGTAAACGATGGGCCTGCAAGAGCGAGCTGCACTTTTTGGACCTCCACACCCCTCCTGTCTGACTCTCCTCTCTGTGTCCAGGTCTCTCTCCGGACGCATAGTTGGTGGTGTCTGGTGGTTCTTCACCTTGATCATCATATCCTCCTACACAGCTAACCTGGCTGCCTTCCTCACCGTGGAAAGGATGGTTTCTCCCATCGAGAGTGCAGAGGACTTGGCCAAGCAGACAGAAATCGCCTATGGGACCCTGGAAGCTGGCTCCACTAAAGAATTTTTCAGGGTAAAAAGGAAACGTTAATGCAAGCATTTTGATTAGCCCCTTGTTTGACAAGTCCTCCAGGTCCGTCCTCTCTCATCTTCAGCGCAGGTCTGATTTTTTTCTCTTGCTTCCCTTTAGCATGTTAGGATCTGATGAGTTTGTCTTTTGAACAGCAAAAATCCAGTTTTCCCTGTGCTGCTCAGAAGGCTGGCTGTGTCTCCAGTACGTGTGATATTCTGCAATTGTAAACACAGATATGGAATATCCATGTCCTTCCCCACGTTACCGAGGAGCTACTCTGAGCAGCTCCAAAAGAAACCATCTCCTGATTTCCAGCTTGGTTTGCCCTTGGTTTGATCCGCAAAATCACTTGCCGTACCCAAATATGTGGCAGAAATCAGAGGCTGATCTGGGCCCTGACGCAGAAATGGCAGGAGGTTCGTTAATATCCCGTTACCCCTTTTGCCTTCCTTGGCCCATCCGATATGTGGGTATGTGTTCAGTCCAAGCTGGAAATCTCAGCTGGCACCCAAACCTCTATTAATGCTTCTGTTGGGTTTCTGCTGTCCTACATAGCGATCCAAAATAGCAGTGTTTGAGAAGATGTGGACATACATGAAGTCAGCCGAACCCTCCGTTTTTGTGAGGACGACAGAAGAGGGGATGATCCGCGTGAGGAAGTCGAAAGGGAAGTATGCCTACCTGTTGGAGTCCACGATGAACGAGTACATCGAGCAGCGGAAGCCCTGTGACACCATGAAGGTGGGAGGTAACTTGGACTCCAAGGGCTATGGCATTGCAACGCCAAAGGGGTCTGCGCTGAGGTAAGTAGCTTGGATTTGCTTTCTTTTGCCAAACCCCCCAGCAAATCAATGTATGCACACAGTTCAATCTCCATTGCCATGTTAATCACAAAAGCTTGGGGTGTGGAGGTGGGAGAGGTGGAGGGAAATGGATATGAAAACTCAGTGTGATGTGCAGGGAAGTAAAACATCCAGCTCCCATTGAGCGGCAATGGGAGCATTTAATTATTCAAGCCCTGCATTTGGAACATTGGATCCTGGCTGATCCACTTGCTATGAATGTGTCTGCTTATTAGGTGATGGCAGGGGGGCTGCTGTGGTGTAACCATTGGTTTCACAGAGTATTATCCGGAAGGGATGCTCATCCTGTGCCATGTGAACTGCACAGCTTTGCAGAGTATGGTATTACCCTGGCTTGGATCCATGCTTGCAGAGGGAGTTCTCATGGGGAAAGCATTTTGGTGTTTCCTAAAATGAAATGCTGTTTGGGAGAGGTGGGAAGCCAGTTTTGAAAAAGTCCTGCAAAAGGTGTGCATTTTCATTGACTGAGTCAATTCAGATCCTGGCAAGTGCCAAATTTATAGCAAGTCCAAAGGGGCACAAGCCCTGCATTTCTGAGCCCAGACCTGCAGCTGTCACATGCCTTTGCCTACTGTCATATGAAATATCTTCAGAGACCTTCCTTTAAAAAGGAGAATCCCTAAAAAGTACAGACCCAGATCTGAGTTAGTAGCAGAGCTTGTGCCCTGCACACAGACTCCTCGACATGAGCTGCCCCCCTGCAAAGTGCATCATGCAAACTGAGCTGCTCAGAGCAGCATTACCACAATCTGCAAACTGGGATGGTGATCGGAGTCACACCAGAGGTGTGGTTCCTTTCGGCAGCAGCCATGCAAGTTCCTCGCATTACAATCATGAGGAATATGAGTTATAAGGTTTTAGTGGGACTAAGTCCTCAGAAGCCGTAGCTTTAAGTAATCTGATCAATGGTCCACCTCATTTAGTTACTTATTAAACATATTTTGATCAGAATATTTTTACCAAAATCGTGTGTGTGGCCTTATACTTGCTTGCTAACATAACCCAATGCAGAGACATTTAATCCATGGTCTCTGGATTACTAGAAACCAGCTGAGCATTTGCTGATGCATTTGTCTGGTCACACAGCTCCTGAGCCAAAGCCAGCCCAAAGAATCAAAGAAACATCAACTGCTAGTGGACGAGGCCCCAGGATTTTGATTACTAGATTTATTAAGTCAGCTCAAATTGGATTCAGCACTTCCCATATCAGCAATTGCTGGAGGTATCTTTAGAGAAGCTCATGAATGCAGTGCAGGCGGTCCAGAAGGCAATTCTTGCACCCAGTGTGGTTAAGGCTCTGAAATTACTTGGGGGCCTCCAAATGGAGGTAGATATATTCTCATAGCTTTGAGATGTTTTCTGTTGCAATCTCTCCAGTGTTTGTTTTCTGTCTTGCAAATATGGAAATTAGGATACAGGGCTGATTCTATTTATTTATTTATTTAAACATCAATCTTGTATCCTAATTTTGGTATTATAAAAACAAACAGGAACATCCTACCTGTCTTGTAATTGTTGGCATGTGAGGGAGCCATTTATCATACTTCTAAGAAAAATAAATAACAAAAAAGAAAATTGCATTGATTATTTTAATTTTGCAGCCCCAAACATCCCTCTGCTAAGCATGATTCCAAAAATTCCTAACATTTCTTTCTGTTTCCTCTTTTTCATCCCGGCTGCATGTAGAACAAATTTCTTACAGGCCTAATGGCAAAGGAGGAATGCTTGATTTTCCATCCAATGGTGTTTCTTTGGAACAGTTGCTGTCATTTTTTGTCCCATCATGTTTGTTTTGTTCCTGTTGTTTTAATTGTTTTAATCTTAGTAGTTCCCTACAGTCATCATGTCGTGTCTGTTTTCCCCTTGGGGTCCTGCATGTGAGAGGTTGCCCTCAGCAAGGTGACATTCATGAGGCATCTGTATAGCACGGACAGCCTGTCTCTTATTCAGGCTTCATCTTCACTCACTTCCACCCACAGAGTAAAAGCTCTGAGCCAGGTTTGGAGGTACATGTGAGCCAGGCCTATCTTAGATCAGGTGTGTTTTAGAAGCTGGGCTGCATTTTGATTTTTGCTGCGACTTGTCCCTTTTGTAGCTAGACCAGTTTCCTGCATTTAGGATAGCTGCTTAGGAGAGGATCCTAGAGAGATGCTAAATGAGATTTCACCATTGTTTTTCTTGCTTCTACATGGGAACACCACGCCAGGATATTGCCACAGATGAAGGAAAACAAGGTTGAAAATCCAGAAATAATTCTATGTGTTGTAGCAGGTGCAAACATCCCTCCCAGGCCATCAATTAGGTCTCTTGGGCTGCTGAAAGAGTTTGCTGCTTCCTCCAAATCTGGCTTTGAATATCTTTTGGCCTCCAGATGTTAAAATTCAGTTGTCGCTGAGAAGGGCGATGATGGGAGGGCGGAAATTATACCCTTCAACACCAGCTAGTTCAAGATGTGATCCTGTCTGACATGAGATAGTCATGCAGCTGCAAAACCCGTCCATTTACCTGGCAGGAGCTCTTCTCCGCTGTTGGACAAGTGATCAAAAAGAGGGCAAAAAGCCAAATTATCCAAAACAGAGGAACCCAAGAAACCCCATATGAGTCTGGACTCATGGAATAGCGAGGTTTTTGAGATAGAGATCTGGGAGGGCAAGTTCTTCAGAGCAGCCAGCCTGACAGCAAAGTTCCCTAAAATACAAGGGCGGTTTTCCTAGGGTCTATGAATAAACACAAAATGTTCCCTGTTAAAAATCTACCTCCCTTCAGGACCCCAGACCTCTCAGTCTTTTATCAAAATTCTCTCAGGATGAAGTACGGCTTGTTCTGTTTACTCCCCATGAGCTGAAGAAAGAGACAAATAACTGAAATGAAGCTTCCAAGGAAAGATAACACATAATGCTCAGCACATGGCCCCAAAAATCATATGGCTGATATTGTGCTCAGGGAAACTGCAATGCATTTACTTTGTTAACACCTTGTACCCACATAGAAGCTGCGATGTATTTTGGCTCATTAGTTAACTAATCTTTTGCAGATGGTTCAGCCATCAGAGTGCTAATTAACCTGTATTCTGTTTTAGAAGACAGAAATAATAATGATTTACTTAGTGTCAAATTCTTTCTGGAGCTACACTCACATGCTTCCATTAGCTTTAAAGGCAATCAAAGTTAGACTCTGACCACAATACCGTTACAGTAAAAAAGGGAAAATATTCAGCCATCTTCAAATCCACACCTTCGCCTTCTCTTGGACTGGTAGCAAGTTTGACTGCATCTGGATTTTGGTTTTTGAAGACTGGATTCTGCCTGAAGGAGGCTCCCAGTCCTTGTGAAGGCTTCAGTGCTTGGATGGGATCCCAACAGGCAGAGCCATCATGGGCTCGAGGAGGTCAGCACATCCCTCTTGCTCACAGCCAAGCTTTTTTAGAATTGTAATGTAAGAAAACAGCCCCTTGATGACATTTTCTTGGTGTGGTACTCAGTGCTACGTGCACAAATTCTCTGAAACGGGAGCTGCAAAGTCCTTGGCCTTTGTCAAGATCTGTTTTATTGATATTCAATGTCTGCTGGTGCCCTCCATCTATTCCATGCTTTTTAAAGCCCTCTCACATTTGTATCTTACTGTGCTTAGCTTTTTTCTTCTTTTTCATGCAAAAAATGAAATGCTGGTGTAGCATTGCACCTGATACCCAGCATCCAGAAACAAACTGTGCCTGTGTGCAGAGCCTATAAAACTCACTGCTGCACCTCCTGAGTCAA